TCGCCACTCGCTCTCAGCTCTGCCTTCAGATGAGTCCGTAGAGTCGAGTGGCCCGTACCCAGAGCTTGTTGGCTGCCTCATGTACCTGATGACCTGCACACGACCTGACCTTGCATACCCTCTTAGCATTCTTGCACGCTATGTTGCTCCTGGGAGACACAGACCGGAGCACATGGCCGCAGCGAAGAGGGTGTTGCGCTACTTGTGCAGTACGTCGGGCATGGGGCTTGTGCTTGGAGGGCAGAGTCCAGTGGTCCTTACTGGGCACGCAGACGCTTCTTGGGCTGACGACCAGGCTACGCAGTGGTCGTCACAGGGTTACACCTTCAGCCTTGGTTCCGGCTCTGTTTCGTGGCGGGCTACTCGCTCGTCTTCTGTTCTCGGCTCCAGTTGTGAGGCTGAGATCTACGCAGGAGCCATGGCTGCACAGGAGCTTCGCTGGCTCACCTACCTGCTGACTGACCTCGGAGAGTTGCCTCGTTCTCCTCCAGTGCTGTACGTAGACAACAAGGCCATGCTGGCCTTGTGTCGGGAGCAGCGACTGGAGCACAGAACGAAGCACATTGCTCTCCGCTAATTTCTTGCTCGTGAGCTGCAGCAGCGTGGTCAGCTGCGTCTTGCGTACGTGGCCTCTGAGGCCAACACTGCTGATATCTTCACCAAGGCACTTGCGCCTTGTGACCATCAGCGCTTCTGTACTCAGCTGGGCCTTGTGCCTACCTTGCCTCACTTGCTCACCTCTTGACCTTGCTTGTACTGTTACATATATATATACCTGCTCTTGCTTGTCTAGCCCTTTTTATATATATGTGTACTCCTGCTTGTGAACTGGCCTTGTGGCCTTGAACTTGTGCTCGGAATGTGTGGTGACTTTGTGATCCACCCTGAGCTTGTTTTGCTTTGCTTTGCTCGACTGGTCTTGTGACCCCTTGTTCTCCCCCACTTTGCCTATGGGGGTGTGTCAGATTTATATGACATAGCTACTGTAGGCTAGAGTGGGGTAGCACATATGGGGTACAGTTTTCTAGGGTTTGCTTCTTGTACCCAACTTTCACTTAGTCATTTCATTCCTGTTTTCTTGATTCACACGCACTTGGTAGTTACGCGATGCAACATGGTAACTGTCAAGAAGAGCAATAGTCGTGGTTAAGTAGCAATGTAATTTAGTTAATAAGGGAATGTACCCCTCAGAGTACATGGCTAGCTAGGATTGCTATTTATATCCTTGTACTTCTATCTTATAATTATCTTGTTCTCTTTCAACTTTATCAACAAGGTCATTACAAAGATTTCTGTCAGATATATATGCCTTAGCATATGTAGGCTGTAGTGGGGTAGACTCTAAGGGGTACAGGTTTCTTATTTGTATCTCACAATTTCCTAGTTCAATTCATTCCTGTTTAATTCTTCACAATTTCATTGTCTTCCCTCAAACTTGGCAGACTTATCCTGTCCACTACGATCCTTCAGTTATGACAGCATGGTATGAGAGCTAGAGTGGATTATAAGACGTGTCAACTTCCTGTTCTTTCTAGAACAAACTCCTTATAAATTACTCATTAAAACTACTACAACTCTGCATCACTATGGCTCCCAAAGGAAAAGCCACTACAAATTCTCCGTGCCCACCACCAGCAACGCCTACTATGCCATCAGCGGTGACCTCCGTCAGCACCGCTCTTGTTGATCAGCTAGTCGCTCGCATCAACGCTCTTGAGAGCCATCAAGCCATGAGCATCGATGGCTCAAGTTACGCAAGAGGAATTGCTGGACTCCCTCTCCCTGGAGAAGACCGCCGCGTCAACTCCGGGACGTCTTTCACCTTTGACAACCGTCAAGCTTCAGCTCCTACATAAGACAGTCAACAACGAGTGCATTCAGAAACAATCGCAACCCTGCAAACAAAGTTCGTTTTGACCTCAAAGCTGAAGACCTCAATCCAATTTGACGGCAAGGATTTCTACACGTGGAGCTTCGAATTCGAACTCCTCGCAACAACTGCTCAGATCTGGATGTACTACAACGGAAGCTTACCTTTCCCATCGGGAGGAACCGTCCAGGAGAAGCATCAATACTACCACGAATCTCTTCTTGCGTACACCACTCTTCTCCGAAACCTCTCCCCCTCCGAGTAGCTTGGCATTTGTTCCTACAAGTCAGAGTGGGCACCCGCGTACGCATCTTGGGAGCACCTGAAAAAATCATACATGGCAACAGATCCCGTTACAATGAGTCGCATACTCAGCCAACTGACATCGGTTAAAATGCAATAAGGGGAGAAAGCGGGACCATATATCAACCGGTGCCGCAATCTGCGCGACCACATTAAGAAGTGCGGCGAAACCGTTCCCGGCGACATGTTCGTCTCCATGGTTCTCTCCGGCCTTGGACTCGATTGGCGTCAATGTCAGTCGTTGCTACGCGCTCGAGCAACTATTTCCGAGTCCGCCCTGTGCGCCATGCTTCTCTCCGAGCAGAAGGACATCGATCTGTACAATGAGAAGAACAACAAACGGGAGAAATTAGTGTTCTTCACTGAAGCGGCTGAAGGGGAGCAGCATGGAAAGAAGGGAACATTTTGCAAATACTGCAAGAAGCCCGGGAACACGATTGATCGCTGCTACAAGCGAAAAGCCGCTGACGAAAGGCACAACAACTCCTCCAGTCAGCAGCCTTCGGCACCCTCGGCTTCCCCTGTTGCAACATCGACCTTGTCGCCGCCTTCCGTCGCGAGCACTTCATAAACTCCTGCACGCATTTCAAACAAGAACAAGGGCAAGGGATCAATAATGAGCTGCATGGCGCGACGTCGCAGAGGCACCCGATACTACGACAACCCCCAATACCCACCAACCGCGCCCATCAATCCCGTCACGCCAAGTCCAAACAATGACCCCATGCTCAGCAGTTGGACTAATCGACCAACCGACATCCCACCTGACTTCGAGCTGCCTCCAAGCACTCCGGAGTCTCCGCCTAGCCTTCCTGCGAGAAAATACATTGACGTCTCGCCGTACACTGGAGACTTCGACCGCATCATCACTCCGAAGATTGCTGGGATCGCGCGACAGAATCGCGAAAACTACAACACCTGGTATCTCAATAGCTGCTGTGGACAACACATGGTGGGGTCACCAAAGTTCATTAACGAATCAAAGCGCATGCGGCGACCGTGTGAAATCACCGTCGCCAACAACAACCGTCTAAAGGCCTACGAAATCGGAGAAACTTACCTTGAGGCCGAAGACATTCACTTCACCATTCACATCGGAGACGTGCTGGTTGTCCCCGGCCTGCAATACAACCTCCTTTCTTCGGTGCAACTCACGTGGAGCTCGCAAGATCGAGTTCCTGATTCGCTCGAAAGACCGCACGCCCACCGAGGACAACTGGGTGCTCCTTGATAGAATTGGGAACCACCCGATCCTCACGGAGTATCTATGCAGCCGCAACTTCCGGGATGTACACGCACTTTCGTAAAGAGAGCCTCCTTGGGGAGGGGGCTAGTGTAAGGAAAATTCCTTTCCCCTACTTCGCGCCCCTGCTTACTGCGTACTCAACTGTTCCCGCCAACAGTTCCCAACAGTGCTCCGTTACCACTCGCGACATTCGCCTCGACCACTGTTCCCGCCACTGTTCACGACGCGACCCAACCTCACGGTTCGGTTGGTAACCCGCGCTCCGGACCTCCGCCTCGACATTTCCCAACCTCGGCGCTATGTCCGTAGCGCACCCCAATTACCGTTACCAAGCTAGCTTCGCTATATAATCTTCGCTCATTCCTTCGCTCAATGTATTGTTTTGCTTCGATAATGCAATTCTCGCTCGCTCGCTCAATTGCACCCGTAACATTTTGCAATTGATGCCAATTTTTCTTACTTGAGATCCTGGCTTTAACAGCTTCTATATTTGTTATTCAGTGTAAGGAATTTTCCCGAATTCCTTATCAGGGTTGACTGCTTCGCGTACAGCCCCGATTTTCGGACTCTGCACGTTTGGCCGACATCAACGATGCCGAGCCTCCTCGTGTCGCCTTCGGTTTTTCTCTTCGCCAAACCTGCACCCAACCTCACTCACCCGAAGTTCCCTCCTAGCTAGCCTACTCACTATATTAGCGTGTGCCTTCATTGTAAAACCAGTCTGTTCAATCACCTTCTCGTTATTAGTTAACCTGCGCACTCTCTTTTACGACTCATAACATGCGCTGAACAACTCATGCTGGTAATGCAACGGATCAAGCTTTCGCGCCAACACGATTTTCAAGAGGCGCGGTTCGACTTCCTAGAGTCGAAAGAAAACGGAAGCAACGGGCGGAATGGAACAGGACAGAGCTAAACAGAAATATCTTGCTCTTGGCTGTCAACATCTAAACAGAAACAACTAAGTCGTGACCTTCTCTGTACTCCTAGTGGAGCCTGTGATGTTCGACCTTCTTTAGTTTTCCACAGCTAGCTGCGTGCGTTTGGCACAGTTTAGGATCATGTGGTCAGTCTAGGTAGAGAGCAAGCTCCCGTTAACGACACTTGATCGTAACCTTCAGAGTAAGGCCAGACGCATCTGATTCTGCTTTCTCTTTCGCGTTTCCCTCCATCATTTCGGGTGCTGATATTCCGCATTATGTCATAGGCGAAATCTTGTCAAGTGCTCTTATGGTACAAGACCTAAAGGACGTCGGTGTTTTCAGGCTCGTCGTGACGATATACTGAAACGGCACACCTTGTTGCCACATGTATTTCCAGCGGACCACTAGGAGAACCGAGACGCCTCAACTTGAGTTACCCGACGGTGTTCCCGACGGTGTTCCCGACGGCCTCAAGAATAACGTAACGAAGCAGTACCCGACGGTGTTCCCAACATGTTCTTCCAGCGGACCAAAAGGGCCGCCTCCTGTCGACGACCTAGCTTGAATGGCTCAAGAATGAATCGACGCTTGCTGTGAGGTTAACTCAAAGCCGTCGATAGTCAACGTCTCAGATTCGTTCACGTGGCTCGAGGCGAGGATGAACCGCAGCGAGCTTCTGCGGGAGCTGCAGCGGCGGGAGGAGGAGGCCGCGCGCGAGCAGCTGCTGCTGCTGCGACGAATGCGCGAGGCGGAGCGGGAGAGGACCCGAGAGGCGGAGGGGGACAGGGGGAGGGAAAGGGGGGAGGCGGGAGAAAGCGGGAGAGGGGAGGCTGCGCGGCGGGAGCTGCAGGACGGGCGGCAGCAGCAGCTGGCGCAAGAGCGGCAGGCGCAGGGGGAACAGGCGGAGCAGGTGTATTACGACTTCAGTCGCATACGCCCGCGCGAACCGTCGCCTCCTAGGGTAAGGCGAAGATTTCCGAGTCGACTCAAAAGTCATTTCGAACTACACCTCGTTTGAGGCGATTCAAACACAGGTGCTCTAGTACGACTTCAGTCGCATTCGTCTTCGCGAACCGTCGCCTCCGAGGGTAAGTCACGAAGATAAGCTCACGGGTAAAGGCACGAGGAAGGCACAACGAAGGCAAGCGCATGGTTCATATCCTCTAAGAGGATATGAACGCAGCGACTCCGTTCCGCGTAGGAACGCGCTCTCTCGCGTTTGAAGTTTCCCACCTCAAGACAAGACACTGTCTGTCCGCTTTCCTTGTACTGTGCTTCCGTCCCGCTCTTTCCACACAAGAGTAGCAATCGCAAATGAACTTTTCTGCTTGCCCAACCCCATTTTCCCAAAACCTCATCAACCATCTCTTGTGCTCGCAGCTCCCCAGGGACGCGCTCCCGTGGGTGCTGCTAGCGGGGGCCGCGGTAGCGGCAGCAGCGGTGGTGCACCACAAGCGCAATAAAAGGAAATCTCTTCTCGCTTTCCTTGTCTGTGCATCCGTCCCATCCCTTGGCTCGCAGTTACCCAGGGACGCTCTCCCCTGGGTGCTGCTAGCGGGGGGCGCGGTAGCGGCAGCAGCGGTGGTGCACCACAAGCGGCGGTGCCACCGCAGCAGGCAGCAGCACATCGCCGCGGAGTCAGTAGTCGGCTCCTCAGGCCCCCCCCTTGGCGCATGCTCCGCCCCCCTACTCTCCCCCCATGGCCCCCCTTTCTCCCCGCACGCCCCGCACGCCCCGCACGCTCCGCACGCCCCGCACTCCGCCTTCCACCCGTCCGCCTTCCCCCATGGCTCTCCTCCAAGGCCCGCCCAGCGGTCGCCCCATGCGTCCGCGCTCTACTCCTCCGCCTCTTCCGCCCGTTCCCCCGCCTCCTGCCCTGGCGCGTCGCCCCGTTATAAGCACGGCGCGCCCTCCGCGTGTAATCACGGCGCGCGGTCATGCACCAGCGGCCCCCGCATTAGAGGAACGCAAGGGATAGGCGCTCCTGTGGCGGAAGCTTCCCCGCAGAAAGAGCTATCAGGGGCGCTGTCGGGTGTTGGGCCGCGGATAGAGGGGGAAGGGGGGCGCGGAGAGAGAGGCGATGGGGGAATATGGGCGGAAGGGTGTGCGGAGAAGGGTAAGGGTAAGGCGGAAGTCAGGGGGAGGCGATTTCGGAGGAGGGAAGGGAGGGAAGAGGCTGGAGAGGAGGTAACTTCTGCGAGAATAGAGAGACCAAGTGGCCGTTATGAAATTGCTGCTGGTGCTGCTGCTGGTGCTACTGGTGCTACTGGTGCTGGCGCTGGTGCTGGCGCTGGTGGCGCTACCGGTGGTGGAAGGTCGTTGTTGGCTTCTGCAGCGGAGTACGGTGAGTGCCCTTGCTTCTAGGCCCACCAGCAAGCCAGTTTCTTTAGTCGAATATAAGAATGCAGCGGGGTACGGTGAGTGCCTTGGCATGCATGTAGGCCCACCAGCACCCTCGCCCCCCGTCCTGTCTGCCGCGCAATTCTCTCAGCATGCTGTGCCCGCCACCTAATGATCCTCCTCCTCCGCCTCCCTTCGCTTCCGCCAGGCCTGTACGCCGACCATCTCCGCCCGCACGCCCTCTCTCCCGCCCGCTTGTTGTGGCGCCTCACAATTGATCTTCCCCCCATCCCATTCCCCTTCCCCCCAGGCCTCTACGCGGACCACCTTCGCCCCCACGCCCTCTCCCCAGCCCACGCGCTCAGCACAGGGCCTGGGCGCGCAGCAGCCATCAGCGCGGGAGGGGGGGGAAGAGGAGGGGGAACGGAAAGCGGGGGAGGCACAGGGGGAGGAGGAGGGGGGAATGGGGAAGGGGGAGGCGCAGGGAGTGAGGGGTCCCCGCTGCCTGGCGGCCTGGCGAGCTGGCTGCGGGAGGAGAGAGAGAGGGGGCAGGGCGGGCGAGAGGGGATGGAGCGGAGGGAGTGGGGAAGGTTGGCGGATGCGGGTGGGCAGCAGCATGTGGAGGGGGGTGGGCAGATGGGTGGAGAGGCAGTGCAGCCAGGTCCTTCTGAGGGAAAAGATGCAGGTGAGAGGAAGAGAGGGAGAAGGAGAGGCACACATGGAGCAGGAGACAGGATTGCTGCATGCATGCTGTGTTGTGCATGCTGCCTTGGAGGAAAAGGATGGAAGCTGCACGGCCAGGAAAGCTGCAGGCATGCTGTGTTGTGCTGGGGTATCTGCCTCATGCCTCTGCCTCATGCCTCTTCCTCCCATGCCTTTGCCCTGGACGTGCAGTTCCCATCCGTTTCCTCCAAGGCGACTCTTGAGTCGACTCAAAGTGCTTCTGCTGCTCATTCCTTTGCCTCTTGAAGCCCTTACCCTGGACGTGAAGTTTCCCAACCTTTTCCTCCATTCGTCCGTACCGAACCAGCATGGTGGCTTTTGAGCCAACTCATAAGTCACCCTAGCCTTTTCTCAGCTCGTTGCTCCTCTCTCGTTTGTCGCTGACTCATGCCTGCTGCATTCAACGTTCTTTCCCTAATCTCTCACCGCTGCGGTCCCCACAGGCACCCCTGCATGGAAGAGGCACGCCTGGCTGCGCACAGCTGCTCGCCACACCACACCCGCACCCTCTGTTGCCAGCGCTGCTGGCGCTAGTGGCGCGACTGCCAGTGCTTTCACTGCCAGTACTGCTGCCCCTGCTGCTGCCACAGCCGGTGCTGCCAACAGCCCTGCGCCTGCTGGGTCTAACCAAGGCAGCTCCACCACTCACCTGCTCGCGCCCTCGCCATTCACTGCAACCCCCTCACGTTTCCCCGGAGCTCCCTCCCCGTTTCCTGCATCTGAAATCCCCCTGGCATCTCCTCCTTCCTCTACCCCACCGCCTCCTGCCGTGGGACTCACTCGATTCGCGGCGGCTCTACCAGACCCCGCAGCTGCAACTGCTGGTGTTGGTGATGTAGCGCAATTAGCTGATGGCTCAAGGAAGGGAGGCGCTGTGATGAATGGAGAGGCGTTGAGCGCGGCAGTAAAGGCAGGCGGCCTGCCGGCTCTTCATGGACTCTCGCTCTCCTCAAATTCGTCAGTTTCTTCCGCATTGCTGCCTACTGCCCGTGCGGTGGAGGCAGGGCGAGGAGGAGGAGGTGGAGGAGGTGGAGGAGGTGGAGGAGGTGGAGAGGGAGGAGGAGGTGAGGAAGGGCGGGAGACAACACCACTTAAGGATCTGGCAATGGAATCCGTGTCTGCTTCGGCAGCAGCCAGTAGTGCTGCTGGTGTTCCTGCTGCTGCTGCTGGTGATGCTGCTGGCGCTGCAGTCACGGCGACTGGGGCAGCAGCGGCGGCGGCAAACGCGGCACACTGGCAGTTTGGCGGAAGGGCTGGTTCGGCAGCAGAGGGAGGCACGAGCGGGCTTGGCACGCCAGTAGCACCAGGACCAGCAGCAGCGATTGCACTTACTGAAGCCTGTGTTTCAGGCCAGGCACTGGCTGCCGTGTTTCGGTTCGGGAGTGTTCCAGCAGGGAGGAGGTTTTCAGATTCTTTCTCCATGCCTTTCACTGGTGCTGCTGCTGCTGCTGCTGGTATTACTACTGGTGGTGCAGGTGGGACGGGCACTGCCTTCCATTCTGCTGCATCCCACAGTGCCTCCACTCACCCTTCGTTCCTCTTCTCGGCCTCTCCCACTCCCCTCTTCTCCTCTTCTCCTGTCCCCCTCTTCTCCGCGTCTCCTGTGCTTGCCTCTCCTGGTCTGACCAGCACAGTTGCTCCCCCTCCTGGTGCCATCAACAGCAGCAGCGGTGGCAGTGGCAGCAGCAGCAGGCCAACGCCTCTGTTCCGCAGGGAGGAGTTTCAACGGCTGAGAGCGCAGTTGAAACGCCGGGATGAGATGATACTGGACATGCAGGCGCAGATGAAACGGCTGGAGCAGGAAAAGGAGCGGATGGGGAGGAGGATGGAGAAGGGAGAGAGGAAAGTGGCAGGAAGGGATGCGTCCGTGTCTTCGCCTGCTGCTTCCAATGCTGGTTGTGGTGCTGTTGCTGCTGCTGATGGTGCTGCTGCTCCTGGTGGTATTGTTGCTGGTGCTGCTGGTGCTGGTCCTGCTGCTGCTGCTTGCGCTGCTGCTGCTGGTCCCTGTGCTGGTGCTGCTGCTGGTGCTGCTGATGATGGTCCTGCCAGTGCTGCTGCTGCTGGTTCTGGTGGTGCTGCTGCTCGTACTGCTGCTGCTGGTCCCTGTGGTGCACTGCAGCTGCAAGGGGAGCAGCAGGCAGCATCGGAAGTGGAGAGAATCGAATCCAATCAAATCGAAATAGAACGGATGGAGGCGTTGCTTGCAGCTGAGAGGGCAGCGAGGGAGGAAGCCGAGACACGGGCGAGGCAGCTGAAAGCTGAGCTGGAAAGACTGGCTGCTGAGCTGGCAGCTAAAGAGGCAGGCGCAGCGGAGCAAAGGGAAACGGAGAGGAGGGAGATGAGGGTGGGGGATAGTGAGGGAGGAAAGGAGGAGCGCGGGCTTGTGCGTGGGAAGGAGGCAGGGAGAGCAGGGGCTGGGGAGGATGTGGGCTCAAATGTTGTATGTAGCTCTGGATTCGAGAGTGACTGTAACGAAGGGGGTGGTAAAGAGGTGGAGAAAAATGAGGAGGACAGCGAAGGTAGGAGAGAGGGAAAATGGGAGGAGGGGGAGGAGGTGGAAAGGGATGGTGATGGTGATGGTGATGGTGACGGTGGGAATGACGGTGCGAGTGATGTTGGAAGTGATATTGGGAGCGATGCTGCGGGGATGATAGCAGAGGCTGTGGCAGCAGTAATGGAGGAAGCAAGGGAGGAGATGGAGCAGGTGAAGGCCGGTGCCCGCGCTGCTGCTGACGAGACTTATGCTAAAGGGCGGGCGGAGGGGAGGAGGGAGGGGAGGGAGGAGGCGTGGAGGGAAGGGATGGAGGATGTGAGATTGGATGGGAGGATCGCGGGGAGGAAGGAAGGGAGAGGGGAGGGGAGAGAGGAAGGGAGGAAGGAGGGGAGAGAGGAAGGGAGGAGGGAAGGGAAAGAGGAGGGGAGGAGGGAAGGGAGAGAAGAGGGAAGGGCAGAAGCGATGCAGATTGCACAGAGGGAGCTGGAGGAAGCTGCGAGGAAGGTGCGGGAGCTGGAGGAACGAGTGGCTAGAGCTGAAGACATGGTCCTGATGAACAGTAAAGAGTGCAGCACTGGGGCTCCTCAGGAGGGCACAATCCGCGTTATAGACAGCCCCATGAATAATACAATGGACAGCGCCATAAACAGTGGAATAAACAAGACTGTAGACAGTACCACGAGCAATGGTTCAAAGGATACAACTCCTGCTGTGGCTGCTTCTGACGTTGCAGCAGCAGCTATGGCGAGTCTAAAGTCACTCGAGCAGCAAGTGAGAGAGGGGGAGGAGAGGGAGAGGGCGTGGCAGGGGAGGTTAGAGGCAGCAGAGCAGGCAAGAGATGCGTTGCACACACAGGCAGTGGCTGCAGCCGAAGCTGCGACTACTGCAGCTGAGGCGGTGGTGGCAGCAGCAGAGAGTGAAGTGGCAGCAGGGAGAGAGGCGGTTCGAGAGGCAGAGAGATTGCTTGGAGAGGAGAGGAGGAGGTGTGAGGGGTTGGTGAGGGAGGTGGAGAAGGAGGGGAGGAGGTGTCGGGAGTTGGAGGGAGTGGTGGAGAGGGAGGAGAGGAGGTGTGAGGAGCTGCGGAGAGAGGTGGAGAGGGGTAGGGAGAGGTGCAGGGAGATTGGGGAGGAGCTGAGGAGGGAGAGGGAGAAGGGGGAGAGAGCGAGGTTGATGGTGCAGCAAGAGAGGGAGAAGGAGTGGGAGAGGACGGAGAGGCAGGCAGAGGAGGCTGCACTGGTGCTGCAACAATTTGAGCAGCTGGCTGCTGCTGTGGTTGATGCGGTAGTGGCTAAGGTGAATTCTGAATCGAAACAAGAGGCTGGGCTAGTGCTGCAGCAGTTTGAGGGCCTGGCTGCTGCTGTGGTTGATGCCGTGGTTGATGCCGTGGTGTCTGGGGGTAGAGCGAAGGATGGTGAGGTAGAGAGAAGTCTGCAGCAGGTGAAGCAGGAGAGGGGGGAGGGAGGGATGGAAGGACAGGAAGGGAGAGGAGAGGAGGAGGGGAGAGGAGAGGAGGTGGGAGTGAGAGAGAAGAGTGAGGAGCTCATGATGCGTGTGAGGGAGCTGGAAGCCAGGATTCAGGAAGCTTCTGAGAAGGAAAGTTACACCATGGAGATTGCAGCGGTTGCCTTGGAGTCAGCTGTGGGTGAGGCGGTTAGAAAGGCGGTAGCACGGGCTGGGAAGAAGGAAGCGGAAGCTTCTGAGAAAGAGAGGTATGCGACTGAAGTTGCAGCAGTTGCCTTGGATTCAGCTGTGGGTAAGGCAGTTAGAAAGGCAGTAGCACGGAAGCAAGCGGAAGCTTCTGAAAAAGAGAGGTACACGATGGAAATCGCAGCAGTTGCTTTGGAGTCTGCGGTGGGTGAGGCAGTCACAAACGTGGTGGTAACACGGGGTGAGGCACAAGCAGAAGCTTGTGAGGAGAGGCATGCAATGGAGATTGCATCGATTGTCCTGGAATCAGCTGTGGTTGAGGCGGTAACACAGGCAGTAGCACGGGCTGAGAAGAAGGAAGTGGAAGCTTCTGAGAAGGAAAGGTATATTATGGAAATAATGGGGATTGCGCTGGAAGGGGTAGTAGAGGCGGCAGTAAGTCAGGCTGTTGCCAAGGCAGAGGCTCGGATGCACAAGGCTGAGAAACAGGTTCGGGAGAAGGTACGGGAGGAGCTCTGGGAGCAGGTTCGGGAGGAAGTTCGGGAAAAGGTTTGGGAGGAGGTTTGGCCCGAAGCTGAGCAGAAGGCTCGGGAGAAGCTGAATTCTGCGTGGGCAGCTGTTGCCAAAGCCGAAGCTGCTGTGGAGGCTCGGAGTGCTGCTGTGGTGGAGGAGGGGAGAGTGAGGATGGAAGAGAGGGTAAGGCGGGAGGACGGGCTGAGGGAAAGGGAGGAGAGAGTGAGGGAGGGAGAGGGGAAGTTGGATGAAGATGTGTGGCTCTTAGAGGAGGCTCTTAGGCGGCGGGACGAGCAACTGCTGCTCTTAGCTAAGAGGGAGGAGGAGGTGAGTGGAAGGGAGGAGGAGGTAGGGAAAAAGGAGGAGGAGATAGCACAGAGAGAGGAGGAGGTGAGGAGGGGAGCAGAGGAGGTGAGGAAGGGAGGGGAGGCGGAGAGGGAAGGAGATATGGGGGATGGGGGAATTGAGGTGGGGAGGGCAATGGAGGTAGCAGCGGCAAGGAAGGCTGCTCGTGCTGCTCATGCTGCTGCTGCTGCGGCTGCGAGGAGAGTGGTGGAGGAGAGAGAGCGGTGCAGAGAGCTTGGGGAGGAGTTGGAGAGGAGAGCAGAGAGGGAGGAGGAGAGAGCGAGAGGGATGGTGCAAGTGGGGGCGGTTGTGCTTGAAGCTGCTGTGGAGGAGTGTGTGAGGAGGGCGGTTGAGAGGGAGAGGGGGAGAGAGACGGAGAGGGAGAGAGAGAGGGAGAGAGTGAGGGAAAGGGTGAGGGTGAGGCAGAAGGAGAGGGAGAGGGAGAGAGAAAGAGAGAGGGAGAGGAAGAGGGAGAGGGTAAGAGAAAGGCTGTGTGTAAGGGAACGGGTGAGGATGAGAATGTGGGAGAGGGAGAGGGAGAGGAGGAGGGAGAAGGAGAGGGAGGAGGGTGGAGGGGAGGTTGAGGAAGCATGTTTGCATGTCATGATGGCTGCAGCTATCGAGGCAGCTGCAGAGCAGGCTGCTGCTTCAGCTGTAGCGGCATCTGTAGCAGCAAAGGGATCGGCGGCTGCAGCTGTAGCAGCGAAGAAATGTGTATCAGGCTGTGCAATGGATAAAGGGGGAGTGGAGCTGGAGGAAAGGAAATGGATGGAGGATGGGGAAGGACCTGAGGATGATGGAGAGGGGGAGACGGAGGAGGCAGAAGGGGAGGAGGTGGAGGGGGAGGAGGAGGGGGGGGAGGAGGGGGAGGAGGAGGCGGAGGGGAGGGGGGAGGAGGAGGGGGATGACGTGGAGGGGGAGGGGGATGACGTGGATGGGGAGAGGGATGATGTGGATGGGGAGGGGGATGACGTGGATGGGGAGGGGGATGACGTGGACAGCATGCTGGAGGAGCTGTTGGGATTGGCTGAGAATAGAGGGGCGGATGGGGAGGGCGATGATGGGGATGAGGCGGATAGCAGGGAGAGCAAGTATGTGCCATGGAGCGGCGGCAAGGCTGCTGGCTGCTGGAGCCCCGGCAGGGTGAATGGTTCTGTCAGTGAGGATAGAGGTAGCGTGGATGGCTGTGGTGCTGATGGTGCTGGTGCGCGTCCTGATCATTATTGTGATGACAGTGGTGAAGAGGTTGATGGTGGCAGTGCTAGTAATCATGGCAGTGGTAGTGACGATGATGTGAGTCATGAGGACGAGGAGGAGGAGGAGGATGAGGACGAGGAGGACGACGAGGAGGAAAGTGCGAGGAAGCAGGTGGAGAGGAGCATTTTCGCAGCTTTGGAGGAGATGAAGCAGTGGAGTGTGGTGACCTCAGCCTCGGACTCAGCTTCTGCTTCAGCCGCAGCCGCAGCTTCAGCGTCAGTTTTATCACAGAAGGTTGACAACAACAGGGACGACGCACATGGCAGTAAGGGAGATGATAGACTGTGTGGTTATGATGGTGCCTCACAAGGCGCCCTGTCTTTGCCACAGTGTGGGGCAGAAACGGTTACTGTCACTGTGAGTGACGGCGGCAGTCCCTTGAACCCATCACACCCGGAATCACAATACATGTCGCCAGTGCAGCAACACGTGCAGCTCGCAAAGCAACACGTATCGCCACTGCAGCATGCCAGCAGCAGCAGCAGCACTCTCTGTCGAAGCCAGTCGGGGGTTCCTGCTGCATCCGCCCCTCTCCCTGCTCCCCTGTCAGCCCCACAAGCCAAGCACTCTGCATCAGCGTCGTCCTCCCCCATCCTCCGATCCTCCTCTTCTCCTCTCTCCCGAACCGGTGCGTTGGCGTTGGGCACGCGGAGGCGGCAGGTGCGGCCCGTACGTCTGTTTGGTTCGGGCGAGGAACGGAGCGCAACAGCGAATGAATCTGTAAGTGGCTTCCCTGGTCTCATTTGTAGTTTCCCATTCTGGTTCTTCTTTTCTTTAGCAGAGGCCTAGAAATACCTTACATTCTCCAAGAGAGACTTCCTCAACAGCCCGCTAATGTTCCCCAAATGTTGGTTTCCGTGTTTCCATGTGCAGGCCTCCTTGGAAGAACCACATTTGGACGAGATATCGCAGCTTCTGCAGAAGTTCAGTATCGGAGCCTCCAAGGACGAAGGCCACACAAACTGACATGAGCTGACTGCTAAGCTAGCGTTGGTGGATATGCCGTTCCACCAATCCGAACGTAGCTTCCCGCTTACTCCTCTAATTTATGTACTTCGTGTTTATATGCTGGACAAATATGGTATCTTCTTAGCTTACCATACATCGGATCAGCTCATCTTGTAGCGGTAACACATCACATGGTGGGTGTAAAGCTTCGTCTCGGAGCGTGTCAATACACTTAATTTCGGCGGGGTGGGGTTGTGTGCGTTTCAGCGCGCTTCGGTCACCTTTCTTGACGTGGGGGAGATTTCGAGCAAAAGCTAACTAAACGAAACAAAACTTCCACCCCAGACCGTTCTTTGCATTTTTTGTCACGCTTCTGACCCCAAGTTTGACTACCGGCAGGCACGAACGAGCCCTAAACTGGGCCCTCCCTCACCTTGTGGTTGGTTTGGCTTCTATGACACCCTCCCTCACCGAAGTAGCAGCAAGGGGAAGCGTCAAACACGGACACCAAGACCAACTAGCTTCAGCCTTTTCACTCCAGTCCGTTAGCTGATCAAGCATAATCCAGGAGAACTTACGTTTTACCCCGTGTCTAAGCAAATCTGACTCGATCTCGCCACTGCAACCCAAGCTCTGCTTAGTTTATCACGAAAATTTCTGGAGATTTCGCCTTCGCATTCGCCTTGCAATCCGCATCGTCGCACCCGCAGAACCCGCGCGCAGTGATCGCATCACCGCATTCCGCATCGCCGCAATCCGCGTCGCCGCAATCCGCTTCGCCCAGTCGCCATGGATTGGCAAGGCCAGCGCCTCGCGGAGTATCTGATGCAGATTATTCTCCTCGCCGGTGCCGCCATAGCTTTTGGTGCCGGATTCTTCTACTCCTCTTTCTCTCTCATGATGTACATCCATTTAGGCGCCACGTTGCTCGCGTGCCTCGTGGTGGTTCCCGATTGGCCCGCTTTCCGCCGGCACCCGCTGACGTGGCTCGAGCCGCGGCCGGCGGAGTCCACGTCGACGATCCAGGAGATGCTGAAAGCTCGCGCGTCAAAAAAGGCGGGAAAGGCGAAAAAGTGACGCGCGAAGAAGGTTCGCAGGTAGGCTCCGAGTCGCTTGCAGGGCTCGGGGTGCTGCGCGGGTGGGGTGCTGCGCGGGTGGGGTGCTGCGCGGGAGGGGTGCTGCGCGGGAGGGGTGCTGCGCGGGAGGGGTGCTGCGCGGGTGGGGTGATGCGCGGGTGAGATGCTGTTCGGGTGGGATGCTGCGCAGGTGGGGTGATGCGCGGGTGAGGGTGTTGCGCTTTTCTCTTTCCCATTCCATCACCCCCTTCCCTCATTCCCGTCCCACCGTCCCCTTCCCTCTTTCCCATCCCATCACCCCCTTCCCTCTTTCCCATCTCAATACCCCCTTCCCTCTTTCCCATCCAATAACCCCCTTCCCTCTTTCTCCCATCACCCCTTCCCTCTTTCCCATCCCATTACCCCCTTCCCTCTTTCCCATCCCATTACCCCCTTCCCTCTTTCCCATCCCATTACCCCCTTCCCTCTTTCCCATCCCATCACCCCTTCCCTCTTTCCCATCCCATCATCCCCTTCCCTCTTTCCTGTCCCATCCCCTTTCCTCTCTCCCCTCGTTTCCCCTCCCTCTCATGTCGTCTTCTTCCCTCCCTCCCCTCCCCTCGTTTCCCCTCCCTCTCCAGTCGTCTTCTTCCCTCCCCTCACAGCCTATCCTCGATTCCACCCAACCAGCAGCAGAGGCGGATATGCCTGCTGATGAAGAAAAAACGAGCAACGTGTAAAAACATCTATTATGGTTTTTTTTTTGGTGATCAAGGATATTGGGCTGTGTGTTGTAATTGTGGAACCATTGGTGTGGATAACACTCTGTACCGGTTTCCATCATTATGGATGCCTTTTATATGCTAGCAAGCTTGGTACATGTCATTGAGATAAGTATTTGCGTGCATCGGATTTTTTTTTGGGAAAATATGTCAATGGTAACTTACATGGGGCAGTATAACGCGTACGGTAACGATTTTAACGCGTTTGGTAACTCGCTTAACGCGTTTGGTAACTCGCTTAACACGTTTGGTAACTCGCTTAACGCGTATGGTAACTATACACTAGCAGCCCATCACGCGAATGGTAACTACATGAAACTCCCTCCGAAATGATCCTGAAATTGAGGAATTTATCGAGTTTGAAAGCCTTTACGCACAATTTTATCTTTCTTGAACAAGTTCCGCCGCGACTTTGAAGGACCCTGTTTAGTCTAATACCACGGACCAAGAAGTTTCAAAGTTTATATATGTATATATATATGGCTCGTACAAAAACGGTTCAAATCATATTTTTGATAGCATGATTGCAAACTTGCAAAATGATTAAAAAAAAAACTTTCCGCGAAAGGGCATCGGGCTTTTAAGTTTTGTAATTACTGCAACGTTGGCCATTTTTTTTCATGTGGAAAAGATACACCTCTTTAGAATTACATGTTTCATTTTTCAAAAAAGAACCATATACGTCTTGTCGCAAGGAGTTTAGGGTTGATGCTCCCAAATTCATTTGCCATCTGAAAGGGGCATAGATTTGTTTGCCCCGGTTGCACGATAGAATTAAGTACAAACAGTTTGTGGAAGGAGCGCCAGAATATCAGTTGCATATAAAACTTTGTTTTTGAAACACTTACGGTTTTGCAATTAGCTTGAAAATCGGAAAGTGTGTCAGGATTTCGGGAAGTGTGTCAGAATCTCGGAGAGTGTGTCAGAGGTTTCTGCTTCAAGATTCGTCAATTTAGTCTGACGCGAGCGGGAAAAACCAGAATCAGGGTCATTTTGGGCGAGGGTTTCTTCTAGTTACCATTCGCGTTATGGGCTGCTAGTGTATAGTTACCATACGCGTTAAGCGAGTTACCAAACGTGTTAAGCGAGTTAACAAAAGCGTTAAGCGAGTTACCAAACGCGTTGAAATCGTTACCGTACTCGTTATACTACCCCATGTAAGTTACTGTCAGATTTATATGACATAGCTACTGTAGGCTATAGTGGGGTAGCACATATGGGGTACAGTTTTCTAAGGTTTACATTTGTACCCAACTTTCCCTTAGTCAATTCATTCTCGTTCAGTTTCTCATGGTATCGAGCAGGTTCCCCTGTGGGAACTGTTCCTAGGGCCCACCACATTTTTTTTCCTGCCCGGAGCGCGCTCTCCACTGCCCGAGTCGCGCTCCCCTCTCTCGACCCTGTCGCGCCGCCTTAGCGGCCCCGTCGCGTCGCGCTTGCGGCCCCGCCGCGTCGCCCTCGCGGCCCCTTCACGTCGCGCCGCCCTAGCGGCCGCGTCGCGCCGCCCTCGCGGCCCCGATCCGCCGCCCTCGCGGCTCCTTCGTGTCGCGCCGCCCTCGCGGCCCTTTCACGCCGCCCTCGCGGCCCTTTCTAGCCGCCCTCGCGGCCCTTTCTAGCCGCCCTCGCGACCCCCCCCCTCCTAGCCGCCCTCGCGGCCCCGTCGCCTACCACTGCGGCCCCGGCGCCGCCCTTCCCTTCCTCGGCGCCGCCTCTGCTGGCCCCGTCCCCCTGCGGCCCCGGAGCTGCCCTTCCCGGCCCCGGCGCCGCCTCTACTGGCCCCGACGCCACTCCACCCGGCCTCGCCGCCGCTCCACCCGGCCCCGCCGCCGTCCCCACGCGGCCCCGCCGTCACCACCGAGCCGCCGGCGCCGCCGAGCTACTGCCGAGCCGCCCGATCCACCCGAGCCGCCCGAGCCGCCGCGCCACCTGAGCCGCCCGAGCCGCCGGGTCGCCGAGCCGCCGAGCTGCAGTTGCTGCCGCACCGCCGTACCGCCGAGCCGCCTGAGCCGCCCGAGTCGCCGAGTCGCCGAGCCGCAGTTGCTGCCGAGCCGCCGTACCGCCGAGCCGCCCGAGCCGCCCGAGCCGCCGAGTTGCCGACCCGCCGAGCCGCCCGAGCCGCCCTGTCCGGTAAGAGCAGCGCCTCTGTCACTGCACTGCCCTTACCCTACTGTTCGCGCTGCTAGTCTACTGCTGTCATGGCTACCCCTAGTGTCCTCGCTTTTGACGCTGAGGGTCGGGCCATTGACTTTGACGTCTGGGTAGATGACCTGCAGCTTTTCCTACAGTGCGATAGGGCAGACGGTCTCTCCCTCTTTGACCTCACCTCTGGTGCCTCTCCTGCCCCTGCTGCTGATGCCGACGCCACTGTTCGCTCACAGTGGGCCACACGCGATGCTGCTGCACGTCTTGCTGTGCGTCGCCACCTGCCTACCTCTGAGCGTGCGCACTTTAGCCAGTACAAGAGTGCTCACACCTTGTACGACGCTGTAGTTGCGCGCTACTCCTCCCCTGCCACTGCTGCACTGAGCCGCCTCATCCTACCGTACCTCTTCCCTGACCTTGCTGCCTTTCCCACAGTCGCTGACCTCATTACGCACCTCCGCACTAGTGACACTCGCTACCGCGCTGCGCTTCCTGCTGAATTCTGCGCCAAGAACCCCCCCCCCATGTACATCACCCTCTACTACATAGTCACCCGGCTCCCTGACTCCCTTCGCGTAGTCAGGGACCACTTCCTCTCAGTTTGCCCCACCACTCTCACCGTTGACCTCCTCGAGAAGGCCCTCCTAGCAGCAGAGAAGAGCATAGTCGCTGTAGGAGCCTCTCGTGGTGACCCTCGCACCCCCGTCTTTGAGGGGTGTTCCCCCTCCCCCCTTTTGCCCTCTGTTGCCTCTGCTGCTGCGGCCGACCTCGTTGGTTTCGAGTCGGTCGGCGCTGCGTCTGCCCCGAGCGGGAGACGCCGCACCGGCAAGGGCAAGGGGGGCAAGGGTGCTGGAGGGGTTGGCGGGGGTGGCGGAGGTGGCGGTGGAGGCAGTGGAGGGGGTGGGGGTGGTGGTGGGAGTGGTGGCGGGGGTGGAGGTGTCGGTGGCGGCAGTGGAGGCGGAGGCGGCGGCGGCGGTGGCGGTGGGAGCGGAGGTGGCGGAGGTGGCGGCGGTGGAGGAGGCGGCGGCGGAGGAGGTGGAGCTGGTCGGGGTGGCGCTGCGCAGAGGGTCGGCTCCGGTGGTGGTCAGCGCCAGCAGCAGCAGCAGCAGCGGCAGCAGCGCACTCGTGACATCCCCCCCCCTCAGCAGCTCCGTGAGTGGTACGCTGCACGCCAGCGGGGTGGGGGTACTGGTTCGTGCACCTACGTCCTACGCACCGGCGACCGCGCGGGTGAGCAGTGCGGGGGTGCGCACTCCACCCAGCGCTGCTTTGGCCGCCTGACGGACGCTTGGTGTCACCAGTTCGCTGAGGCCACTGAGATCCCCCGCTGGGGCGAGCTGTCTAGGGCGGGTGTAGCTGTCTTTGACCTTGACTTTGATGCTATTCTTGCTGCCATGTATGCTGTGACTATTAGTGATGAGGGTGACTGTTATCGGTGTTTTCCGCCCGACCCGGGCATTGAGACTGCTGCTCTAGGTACTGGTGAGGCTGCTGCTCTAGGTGCTAGCGAGGCTGCTGCTCTAGATGCTCGTGTGTCTGCTCCCTCAGGTGCTGGTGAGTCTGCTCTCTCAGGTACTGCGTCGGCTTCGGCCTCCCACACCTTCACCCTTGACTCGGGGGCTTCTCGCTCCTTCTTTCGAGACCGCACCACACTCACGCCGCTTGGCCGGCCAGTTGCAGTCTCTCTGGCAGACCCCTCTGGGGGTCCTGTCCTTGCTCACTTCTCCACTGTCCTCCCGTGTCCGGCGGCCCCCTCTGGCACCCTGTCTGGTCTTTACCTCCCCTCGTTCTCTACGAACTTGGTGAGTGGTGCTGACCTACAGGATGCGGGGGTTCATCAGTTCACTCCTGCGAGTCAGCAGGTGACCCACTGCACGGACGCTCGGACAGGCCGACACCTGGCCACGTTTACACGTCGGCCGGGGTCGAGCCTGTACACACTGACCACTGCGTCTCCTCCAGTCACTGCGTCTGGTCAGGTAGCTGCGTCGGGTCAGGTGTTTGCTGCAGCGTCCAGGTCTGGTCCTGAGTCTGCCCCCTGTTCGTGTCGCCTCCTGTCGCACGAGACTCTCCTCTGGCACCACCGCCTTGGTCACCCCTCCCTGCTTCGTCTCCGAGGCATGGCCTCCCGTGTCCTTGTCTCTGGTCTTCCCCGGTCCCTCCCTCCCCTTCCTCCGGGGCCAGGCCCTACCTGCGTCCCTTGTGTCGAGGGGCGGCAGCGGGCTGCCCCTCACTCCTCCCAGTTTCCTCCGACAGAGGCCCCGCTGCAGACGCTTCACATGGACGTGTGGGGCCCGGCCCGCGTCCGTGGACAGGGTCACGAGCGCTACTTCCTGCTGGTGGTTGACGACTACTCGCGTTACACCACAGTCTTCCCCTTGCGCAGCAAGGGTGATGTCACTGAGGTGTTGATCGACTGGATCCGCGCAGCTCGTCTCCAGCTCAGGCAGAGCTTCGGCTCGGACTTTCCTGTTCTGCGTCTGCACTCTGACAAAGGTGGAGAGTTCTCCTCTGGCCTCCTGCGAGCCTACTGTCGTGCACGAGGCATCCGCCAGACCTTCACGCTTCCGGACTCTCCACAGCAAAATGGGATTGCTGAGCGCCGCATTGGCATGGTCATGGACGTCGCCCGTACGTCCATGATGCATGCAGCTGCCCCCCATTTTCTGTGGCCGTTTGCGGTTCGGTACGCAGCGCATCAGATCAACCTTCACCCCAGGGTCTCCATGCCGGAGACCTCCCCAGCGTTGCTGTGGACGGGGAAGGTTGGCGATGCGTCTGCGTTCCATGTCTGGGGATCTCGGGCGTTTGTCCGC